GATGGAAGGAAGGAAGGAGGGAGAGGAAGGAGGAAAGGAAGGAGGAAAAGAGAGGGAAGAAAGGATTAAAGGGTGGAAAGGAAGGATGGAAGGAGAAAGAGGGAGCGAGGGAGGGAGAGGAAGGAGGAAAGGAAGGAGGAAAAAGAGAAGGAGGAAAGGATGAAAGGGTGGAAGGAAAGGATGGAAAGAGAAAGAGGGAGGTAAAGAAGTAAGGAGAAAGAGAGAAGGAAGGCAGGATGAAAGGGTGGAAGGGAAGGAAGGTGAAAGAGGGAGGTAAGGAAGGGAGGTAAGGGTGGAAGGAGGAAGGAAAGAGAGAAGGAAGGATAGGATGGTGATAGAGAGGAGGGGCTGGGAAAAGAGCCCAAGGGGCCGCATCCACCCCCAGACTTGGGTTTGCCCAAACCTGCTCTGGAGGGTCTCATGCCGCCACATCTATACTGCAGGGATAATGAACATTCACAACCCTCATCTCAAACTCATAGTCTTTTTTGCTTTTTTTGTCCTGTTTGTGCCCAAATCACTTAATTATGGCCAGGTCCTGACCAGATAAATTGTTATTAATGCAAATATCAAGAGTTTTGAGCTATAGCATCCTAGTATGAAGGAGCCTGTCCTTATACCTTTGGCCCCACTCATCAAAGGTGGACCCCATAAACGTTTAGAAATAAATGTGGCCCTTTGTGTTCCAAACAGGTTCCCTGCCCTTGAAATAAGCTGTATTTCTAGTGTGCCAACACCAGTTCATTTGGCAAAGGAGAGAAAGGGTAAAAATGCACCCTTCCCAGTAAGCTGAGGCAAAAGCAAATTGCTGCATCCTCTCTTAGCTTGTGTCTCCTTCTTTGTTTATGGCACTTATCATCTTAAGCAGATGTGAATGTGGCTTGGCTACATGAGTCCCAGTTAGAAACTGTGAAACGCTAATGGTTTTGCTGGGAAACTGGAGACCAGTGTTTCTCAACCTTCCTAATGCTGCGACCCCTTAATGCAGTTCCTCATGTTGTGGTGACTCCCAACCATCACATTATTTTCGTTGCTACTTCATAACTCTCATTTTGCAAATGTCTGATATGCAGGATGTATTTTTATTCACTGGACCAAATTGGGCACAAATACCTGATATACCCACATTTGAATACAGGTGGGGATGAGGAGGGGCATGATTTTGTCATTTGGGAGTTGTAGTTGCTGGAATTTATAGTTCACCTGCAATCAAAGAGCATTCTGAACTCCACCAAGGATGGAATTGAACCAAACTTGGACCCAGGACTCCCATGACCAACAAAAAATACTGGAAGGGTTTGGTGGGCATTGACCTTGAGTTTTAGAGTTATTGTTCACCTACATCCAGATAGCACTGAGGACTCAAACAATGTTGGATCTGGACCAAACTTGCCACGGATACTCAACATGCCCAATTGGTGGAGTTTGGGGAAAATAGACCTTGACTGTTGGGAGTTGTAGTTGCTGGGATTTATAATTCACCTACAATCAAAAAGCATTCTGAACTTCACCAACAATGGAAATGAACTAAACTTGGCACACAGGACTCCCATGACCATCAGAAAATACTGGAAGGGTTTGGTGCGCATTGACCTTGAGTTTGGGAGTTGTAGTTCACCTACATCCAGAGAGTGCTTGGACTCAAACAATGATGAATCTGGACCAAATTTGGCACAAATGCTCAACATGCCCAAATGTGAACACTGGTGGAGTTTGGGGAAAATAGACCTTGATATTTAGGAGTTGTAGTTGCTGGGATTTATAGTTCAGCTACAATCAAAAATCATTCTGAACCCCACCAACTAGAGCATTGGGCCAAACTTCCCACACAGAACCCCCATGACCAACATTGTATTGTCGAAGGCTTTCATGGCTGGAATCACTGGGTTGTGGTGGGTTTTTCAGGCTGTCGGGCCATGTTCCAGAAGCATTCTCTCCCGACGTTTCGCCTGCATCTATGGGAAGCATCCTCAGAGGTTGTGAGGTTCCAGAATGCTTCTGTAACATGTCCATACAGCCTGAAATACTGTGTTTTCTGATGGTTTTTGGTGACCCCTCTGTGCCCCCCCCCCCCGCCCCAGGGTTCTCAACGCCCAGGTTGAGCAACACTGCTTTAGATCAAAACAGGAACTTTTTTAAGCTCTGCCCATCCAGTCTTTATCGCAATGGAAGACATAATGCTAAAGTCCCAGGGCTTCCTTTGCGCCAGGATAGATCCTCTTCCCTTGATCTCGAGGGTTCGGCCTTGGGCCACGAGCCAACCCAGTCATAAGCTTCGTCAATTCTAATGAGTCTTTTCTTTGGCAGCCTTCTTAATTAGTCATACAGAGCTGTGTGCTGCCTGGGCACCCTTGGGCATGTGCAAAGTGCTTCTCCTGCACCACTGAACAATTATAGCTCTCCTCCCACCCCAATACTGTGGGAAAGAAGTGCTTTAAGGTCATGGCATCTGGGTATCTTTGAGACTTGGGGGGTTCTCTCTTTTTAGAAATTCTGCAGTGTCCGGAGGTCTCATTCGGGGGGGAAAGTAGGGCAGGGTCAAGAGGAGCCAAAGCAGGTCAGGACCCAGAGCTAAAAGGTATTGCCATTCCTGGTTACAGTGCATTTTTTTTAAAAAAAAAAAATCATTGCTCTGTGCAATTTTGTAAAAAGCACCCCATTAATCTATTTGCTGTGTGGCTATACTGTGTGTTCTCTTTTATTTGCCCCCCCCCCCCCCAAAAGGATAAAGATCTCGAATAACAAGAATAATCCTAGAATCCTAGAGGGGGGGGGGGGGGGGGGGGGGGGGTAGAGTTGGAAGAGACCCCATGGGCCATCCAGTCCAACCCCATTCAGCCAAGAAGCAGGGAAATCACATTCAAAGCACCCCCACAGATGGCCATCCAGCCTTCCAGTTTCTCATTTAGTCCTACTCATGTATTTTTTCCAACTTGGCCATAATTAGCCACAATACTAGGTGCCAAGCTGTCCCTTTAAGAGCCGAGAATTGGTATCCATTTCCTTCTTTTTTTATATCAGACAAGCTGTACCCGCCATGCATTGCTGTGGCCAACTTTCCCTCCCTCTTTCTCTCCTTTCTTTCTTTCTTTCTTTCTTTCTTTCTTTCTTTTCTTTCTTTCTCTCCCTTGCTCTATCCTTCCTTCACCCATTTTTCTTTCCCTTCTCTTCTTCCTTTTTCCTTCTCTATTTCTTCCTTTGCTCTTTGATTCCATCCTTCTTCTCTCTTTCATTCCTTCCCTCCCTTTCTCTCTTTCCTTCTCTCCTTCCTCTCCTCTTCCTTCTCCCCTTTTCTTTCCTTCCTTTCTCCTTTTCTTCCTTCTCTACCTTTCCTTCCTTCCTTTGCTTTGCTTCCATCTTTCCTTCTCTCTTTCCTTCCCTCCCTCTTTCTCTCCTTTTCTTTCTCCTTCCTTCTCTTCCTTCCTTCCCTTTCTTTCTTTCCTTCTCTCCTTCTTCCTTCTCTACCTTTCCTTCTTCCTTCCTTTTTTTCCCTCTTCTTCTTCCTTCCTTCCTCTCCTCTTTCTTGCCTTCTTCCTCTCTCCTTCCTTCCTGCCCTCTTCCTCTTTTTCCTCTTCCTTCTCTCCTTCCTTCTCTCTTTCCTACCTTCCTTTTCTACCTCTTTCCTGCCTTCCCCCCTTTTTCTTCCCCTCTCTTTCTTTCTTCCTTCTTCTCTTCCTTCCTTTGATTCCCTCCTTCCTTCTCTCTCCTCCTTCCTTCCTTTTCCTCCTTCCTTCCTTCCTTCCTTCCTTCCTTCCTCCCTCCCTCCCTCCCTCCCTCCCTTCCCTCCCTCTCTCAAAAAGAAAACACACACACACACAAAGTTTGCAAACTTGGCATTATACTAAATGTCCTTTGACCAGTAACTGGCTACTTGGAGTGCCTCTGGTGTGGCTGTGAGAAAGCCCTCCATTGTGCATGTGCCAGGGCTTGGGTTGCATTGTTGTGGACTACACTGTGTGGCCAGCCGGTTCTGCATCTTGTGGTGCCAGAGTGCAGTCTGTTCAGTGCCTTCCAGGTCGCCCAGTTTCCTGTGTGCCCGGGGGGGAGTCTTTCATTTGGCATCAACCATTGATTGAGGTCCTGGGTTTGAACCTGCCACTTTTGGACTCTTGCTTGCTGAGGTGTTCCAGCGAGTGTCTCTTTAGATCTTAGAAAACTATTTCTTGATTTAAGTTGTTGTGCTGGCCGATACCCAAACAGGGGATGAGCTGGAGATGTCTCTGCCTTGGTCCTTTCACTATTGGCTGCTACTTCCCGGCGGATGTCAGGTGGTGCAATACCGGCTAAGCAGTGTAATTTCTCCAGTGGTGTATGGCGCAGACACCCCGTGATAATGCGGCATGTCTCATTAAGAGCCACATCCACTGTTTTAGCGTGGTGAGATGTGTTCCACACTGGGCATGCATACTCAGCAGCAGAGTAGCGTAGCGCAAGGGCAGATGTCTTCACTGTGTCTGGTTGTGATCCCCAGGTTGTGCCAGTCAGCTTTCATATGATATTGTTTCTGATCCACTTTTTGCTTGATATTCAGGCAGTGTTTCTTGTAGGTCAGAGAAAGCTCCATGGTAACTACCAGGTATTTGGGTGTGCTGCAATGCTCCAGTGGGATTCCTTCCCAGGTCATCCTCAAAGCTCAAAATGCTTGTCTGTTCTTGAGATGAAAAGCACATGTCTGTGTTTTAGATGGATAAGGAATCAGCTGATTTCCCCTGTAATAGGCAGTAAAAGCACCTAAAGCTTTGGAGCACTTCTGTTCAACCATCTCAACGCTCCCTGCTTGAGTGGTGATGGCACGATCGTCAGCATAGATGAAACTCTCTGTCCCTTCTGGCAGTGACTGGTCATTTGTGTAAGCATTGAACATGGATGGAGCAAGAACCCTCCCCTGAATCTATGGAGGGCTGAGTGTATAGCATTCAGGTTCATAGGTGTTGCGCATTTTATCGCAATTGAGACGCTTTAATGAACGTATCCCTGTTTTCCGTTTTCTTCCCATGTAGTACAAGCAAGTGGAGCAGTACATGTCCTTCCACAAGCTTCCGGCGGAGATGCGTCAGAGGATCCACGATTACTATGAGCACCGCTACCAGGGCAAGATGTTTGATGAGGAGAGCATCCTTGGAGAACTGAGCGAACCCTTGAGAGAGGTAAACAATGCTGGAACGGGGCAGGCAGATCCTTCAGGGAATCCTAACTTGATCTATCCTATATTCGACTGATGGTGTGTTTGCTGATTGCTTATCCTCGATATTATTGAATGAGAGTGAAATTGAATGGGGCGCAGTGACTTCACTGGATCCTGCCTTGGTTAGACCACATCTGTCGTAGTTAGACCACACCTGGAGCACACTGGGTCCAATTTGAGGCACCGCAACTAAAGGGAGATGTTGACTCTAAGCTGGAATGTGTCCAGAGAAGGGTGGCTCAAATGGCCAACGATCTTGCGAAGAAGCCCTATGAGGAGCGGCTTAAAGAACAGGGATGTTTAGCCTGTAGAAGAGAAGGCGGAGAGGAGACATGATAGCCATGTATAAGTATGTGAGAGGGAGGAGGTGGGGCCCTGCTCTCAAACCCACCTGCATCACAAACGTGGTTGGTGGGGATGAGAGACAAGGCCTTCTCAGTGGTGGCCCCTCAGCTATGGAACACCCTTCCTGGAGACATTAGATCAGCCCCTTCCCTCTTAACATTTAGGAAGAGACTCAATACTTGGTTGTTTGAGCAAATGTTTGAAAATGCAAGGTAAAAGAAATATGAATTGGAATGATTGGACGACCAGATGGGACAATGTTTTTATTAGGAGACACAAATGATGTATGCTTTTAGTATTCTTGTTATGGTTTTATATTATGTGTTAATGTTTTTAGATGTTTTGTGGGGTTTCTGGGCATCAAATTGTTGCCATTGTAAATGGCCCTGAATCGCCTAAGGGCTGAGAAGGGCGGTAAATAAAGAATAAAGCTTCCTTTCTGCTGCCCTGGAGACTAGGACGCAATGGAGCAATGGCTTCAAAATACAGGAAAGGACATTAGGAAGAACACGGGGCAATGGCTTCAAACTAAAAGAAAGGAGATTCCACCTGAACATTAGGAAGAACTTCCTGACTGTGAGAGCTGTTCAGCAGTGGAACTCTCTGCCCCAGAGTGCGGTGGAGGCTCCTTCTTTGGAGGCTTTTAAACAGAGGCTGGATGGCCATCTGTTGGGGGTGCTTTGAATGCAATTTTCCTGCTTCTTGGCAGAATGGGGTTGGACTGGATGGCCCATGAGGTCTCTTCCAACTCTAGGATTCTAAGATTCTAGAGCTGTTTAACAGTGGAACTCTCTGCCTCAGAGTGCGGTGGAGGCTCCTTCTTTGGAGGCTTTTAAACAGAGGCTGGATAGCCATCTGTTGGGGGTGCTTTGAATGCAATTTTCCTGCTTCTTGGCAGGATGGGGTTGGACTGGATGGCCCATGAGGTCTCTTCCAACTCTAGGATTCTAAGATTCTAGAGCTGTTCAGCAGTGGAACTCTCTGCCCTGGAGTGTGGTGGAGGCTCCTTCTTTGGAGGCTTTTAAACAGAGGTTGGCTGGCCATCTGTTCGGGGTGCTTTGAATGCGATTTTCCTGCTTCTTGGCAGAATGGGTTTAGACTGGAGGTCTCTTCCAACTCTTGGATTCTATGATTCTTTTCTCCCCGCAGGAGATCATCAACTTCAACTGCCGGAAGCTCGTGGCCTCCATGCCTCTGTTTGCAAACGCAGACCCCAATTTTGTCACCTCCATGCTGACCAAGCTGCGTTTCGAGGTGTTCCAGCCCGCTGACTACATCATCCGGGAAGGGACCATTGGGAAGAAGATGTATTTCATCCAGCACGGGGTGGTCAGCGTGCTCACCAAAGGCAACAAGGAGACCAAGCTGGCAGATGGCTCCTACTTTGGAGGTAAGCAGGCTACACAAGACACAGTGTAGAATCAGTATGAGTTATGGTTTGAGTGCTGGGCTGGGACTATGGGAGGCCAGGGTTCAAATCCCAGCTCTGCCCATGGAAACCGGCTGAGGCAAATCACTCCCAACTTCAGAGGAAAGCTATGGCATCCTTGCTCAAAATAAATCTGGACAACGTCTTGTCGAAGGTTTTCATGGCTGGAATCGCTGGGTTGTTGTAGGTTTCTCAGTCTATATGGATATGTTCTAGAGGCATTCTCTCCTGATGTTTCACCTGCATCTATGGCAAGCATCCTCAGAGGTAGTGAGGTCCTTGTGGGGTTCCTCAGGGGGCCATTCTCTCCCCTCTGTTGTTTAACATCTACATGCAACCACTTGCTCAGCTGGTTCGAGGTTTTGGGCTTGAGTGTTATCAGTACGCTGACACTCAGCTGGTGCTGAAGATGGAAGGCCGACCGGACTCTGTACCCGATTGTTTCCATCAGTGCCTCGAAGCCGTTACTGGATGGCTGCGTGCCAGCAGGTTGAGGGTGAATCCAGCAAAGACGGAGATCCTATGGCTGGGTCGACCGGGTAGTGGGGATATCCAGCTGCCTACCCTGGATGGCGAGGCACTATGCCCGTCATCATTGGTAAAGAGTCTGGGAGTCCTTTTGGACCCTCTGCTGACGATGGAGGCCCAGGTCTCCGCTGTTAGCAGAACCACCTTTTTTCATCTGCGGCAGGCTAGACGGCTGGCCCCCTACCTGTCCAGGGACGACCTAGCTACGGTGATCCAGGCCACGGTCATCTCAAGACTGGACTACTGTAACGCCCTCTACATTGGCCTTCCTCTGTCGGTGACAAAATGCAGCTGCTCGGCTTCTTGCGGGAACTCCGATGAGATGCCACATAACCCCAATCTTACTGCAGCTGCATTGGTTACCAATTGAGCACCGGATCACTTTCAAAGTGATGGTACTCACCTTTAAGGCCTTGCATGGTCTGGGGCCGATGTACCTGAGGGACCGCCTCACCCCCTACCAACCCCAGAGATCCCTCCGTTCTGAGGACCAAGATCTATTGGAAATTCCCAGTGTCAAGACCTTGCATCTAATAGCAACCAGACGCAGAGCCTTTACAGCAGTGGCACCATCACTCTGGAAATACTCTGCCACCTGAAGTCCGTGCCTTGTGGGACCTATCAGCTTTCCGCAGGGCATGTAAGACATACCTGTTTCAACAGGCTTTTAATGTTTGATATTGCTGTTTTTAAATTGTTTTAAATTGTTTTTAAATTTTGTTAGATTTTAGCCATTCTTGTAAGCCGCTCCGAGCCCCAGGGGAGTGGCAGCATATAAGTTCAAATAATAAATAAATAAAATAAATAAATATAGCCCTAAAAACAACCCAATGGCTTCAAACTACAGGAAAGGAGACTCCACCTGAACATGAGGAAGAACTGTGAAAACTGTTCAGCAGTGGAACTCCCTGCCCCAGGAGGCTCCTCCTTTGGAGACTTTGAAAGGAGGAGGGACCTTTGCTTTCTGTTGCCCTGGAGACTAGGACGCAATGGAAAGGGCAGGGAAGGGGGATTGGGGAGGACCCCCTCCCTCCCAGGCTGTCCACCCTACTCTGGCCCACCATGTGGCCCCCAAGTTAGAAAGTTTGCCCATGCCTGGTGTAGAGGCCCATGTTGTGATTCAGCAAGGCTCTCTCTCTGGAGTCACAATGCTTCAAGCAGTTCCTTTTCCCTTCCAGAAATCTGCTTGCTGACTCGAGGCCGGCGCACGGCCAGCGTGAGAGCCGACACTTACTGCCGCCTCTATTCCCTCTCGGTGGACAACTTCAATGAGGTGCTGGAGGAGTATCCCATGATGAGGAGGGCCTTTGAGACGGTGGCACTGGACAGACTGGACCGAATAGGTAAGTAAGTGGGCAGTGGGATTATTCCTTTGCAAGGGTCTCACCAGACTGGAGGGCAAAACCATCATCTTAAGGAATTTCACATTAGACTTTTTAAGTAGCGAGTTTCCATTCCCTTTCTCACCCCTGCTGTGCAACTGTTCGATTTGATAAAAGCTTTTGCATTAAAGAACACAGAGATTGAAAATGAATATGTTGTCCAGACCCTATGATTGAGGGTCTGGAGAACAAGCCCTATGAGGAGCGGCTTAAAGAGCTGGACATATTTAGCCTGAAGGAGAAAGGGCTGAATGGAGACATGATAACCATGTATAAATATGTGAGGGGAAGTCATAGGGAGGAGGGAGCAAGCTTGTTTTCTGCTGCCCTGGAGACTAGGACGCAATGAAAGAATGGCCTCAAACTACAAGAAAGGAGATTCCACCTGAACATGAGGAAGAACTTCCTGACTGTGAGAGCTGTTCAGCAGTGGAACTCTCTGCCCTGGAATATGGTGGAAGCTCTTCATCTTTGGAGGCTTTTAAACAGAGACTGGATGGCCATCTGTTAGGAGTGCTTTGATTATGGGCCATCCAGTCCAGCCCCATTCTGCCAAGAAGCAGGAAAATCGCATTCAAAGCACCCTCAACAGATGGCCATCCAGCCTCTGTTTAAAAGCTTCCAAAGAAGGAGCCTCCACCACACTCCGGGGCAGAGAGTTCCACTGCTGAACAGCTCTCACAGTCAGGAAGTTCTTCCTAATGTTTAGATGGAATCTCCTTTCTTGTAGTTTGAAGCCATTGTTCCATTGCGTCCTAGTCTTCAGAGCAGCAGAAAGGAAGCTTGCTCCCTCCTCCCTAGGACTTCCCCTCACATCTTGATCCCTGGCCCTCATCCTGTCTCCTCTCAGCCTTCTCTTCTTCAGGCTAAACATGCCCAGCTCTTTAAGCCGCTCCTCATAGGGTTTGTTCTCCAGACCCTTGATCATTTGAGTCACCCTCCTCTGGACACATTCCAGCTTAGAGTCAACATCTCCCTTCCATGGTGGTACCCAGAATTGGACACAGTTGGGCAATGCTGCTGTGTTTGATGGTCTCTCTGTAGATTTGTCTGCAGCTGCATGGTATCCGGTCGACTCCTGCAAAGGGGAGAGCCAAGTATTCATTGAGCCATAATGGAAAATTATCAACTGAGCACCATGTAAAATATGCACCTTTTCCTTTTATGTCATATTGTTATAATTATTGGTAGAGAGCATCCGTTACTTGATGATAGGGTCAAAATGCTTAATTTGCTTTCTCTCGAAATTCCCAAGAGCTTGACCACTCGACAGCTTTTTAATATTTCCGTGAGTCAGAATGTTTTCCCTCGAGCGTGGCGTTACCCTTTGGTCCTTCATGGGTGAATTTAGAAATTCATGGCAGAACGTAAGGTGCGGATGCTGTTCTGGCCCACGCTGGGTCCAAAGGGATTCGCAGCTTTTGAATTCTGCCTTTGAGATGCTTTCATGCCCCGTCGCCAGTTGAAAACTACAGAGCCATTCCTGTTCCGAGTTGAGAGCTGCCAGGAACAATATATAAAAATAAAAATGTCATGTTCGTTTGTGGGATTAACAGAACTCAAACACCACTGGATGAATTGACACCAAATTTGGACACCATATTCCTAACAGACCAATGAGTGACCATCACTCATAATTCCCCCCCCCCAAAAAAAAACAGTCCAGAGCGCTTAAAAACTTCAAAAAGCTAAATGACAAAACAGAAAAAAAGGAAGAGGGAGGGAAGCAAGGAGATAAAGGGAAAAAAAGAAAGAAGAAAAAAGTGAAGGAAGAAAAGAGGAAGAAAGGAAGAAAGGACTGAAAGAGGAAGGAAAGAAGGAAAAGAGAGAAGGAGGGAGGAAGAAAAGGAAAGAAGGAAAGAAGAGAAGGAAGGAAAGGAGAGAAAAAGAAGGAAGGAAAGAGAGAAGGAAGGATGGAAGCAAAAAGTGAAAGAAGGAAAGAAGTAGAGAAGGAAGAAAGGAGAGAAAGAAAGAGGAAGGAAAGGAAGGAAGAGGGAGGGAGGGAGAAGGAAGAAGAGAAGGAAGGAAGGAAGGAAGAAAGAAGGAAGGAAGGAAGGAAGGGGAAGGAAAAGAAAAGGGAGGGAAGGAAAAAAAGTAGAGAAGGAAGGAGAGAAGGAAAGAAAAAAAGAAAGGAAGGAAAGAGGGAGTGAAGGAAGGAGGGAAAGAAGGAGAGAAAGTGGGAGGGAAGGAAGAAAGGAGAGAAGGATGGAAGCAAAAAGCAAAGGAAGGAAGGAAAGAGGTAGAGAAAGGGGAGAAAGAGAGAGGGAAGGAAAGAAGGAAAGAGAGAAGGAAGGATGGAAGCAAAAAGCAAAGGAAGGAAGGAAAGAGGTAGAGAAGGAAGGAAGGAGTGAAAGGGGAAGGAAAAGAAAAAGGGGGAAGGAAAAAAAGAGGTAGAGAAGGAAGGAAGGAGAGAAGGAAGGAAGAAAAAGGAGGGAGGGAGGGAAGGAGGGAAAGAAGGAGAGAAAGAGGGAGGGAAGGTTGGCCACAGCAATGCGTGGCGGGTACAGCTAGTACAAGAATACCAATGAAAGGAAGGCCTGGGAGCTGCCTGAATTCTCTCAGGGAAGCCAAAATGCAGACCCAGAGATGGAGAGAGGCGATCAGAAGAACACGGGGCACAATGGGAACGTTAATGACTGGCTCGTGCCTTTGCAAAATGCTAACAAGCAAAAAAAGCTTGAAATTTGATTAGTGGATACAATGGTTATGGAGAACTGATCTCTCCTCATTCCCTGGAGAGAAACGGGGAGGGAATCACATTTCTTTCTGCCTCAGAACCCCTTGTTTCTTATCTGGATCCAATTGTAGCTGACTGTACTCTTCTTCCCAAATTGCTTTCTTTCTCTTTCCTTTTCCGTGCGTCCATAATTTCAGTGCTTATAAGCCAGAGCGGATGCATCCAAAGGAGTCAAAGGCAAGTTAGGAACGAAGGGGATACAGTACTATAATTTTTTTTTGTCCTCGGAGTATTTCCCTTCTGGTAGATATGAGTGGGGAAAAGTCTTTTCCCATTCCTTGGTGGGCAAAAGACAAGCAGACAAATGTGATTGCGTGGCAATGCCAAGGTAACAGAAATGGTCAACATTTTCTAACATTACACCATTAAGATATATTTCTGGCAATGCGGAGGGATTGGCTGGTGACTGCTGGAAGAACACTTTGGTTTTCTTGTAGGTCTTCCTCTGAATGCGCACAGACTATGTTATCATCAGCATATTGGAGTTCTATAACAAATGTTGTAGTGACCTTGGTTTTGGCTTCAGTCTGCTGAGGTTAAATAGGTTGCCTTCTGTCTGATAGATGATTTCCATCCAGTGGGAAAATTCCCATCAACAAGATGAAGTATCATAGCGATGAAGTTGGAAAAACAGGTTGAAACAAGAAGAAAACCTTATTTGACACCTGATTCCACCTTAAATGGGTCACTTTGGGAGCCACTGCTGTCCAAAACTGTTGCCATCAAGTCACTGTGGAGGAGCCACAGGATGTTCACAATTTTGTGACAATGGGAGACCAGGGTGCAAATCCCCACTCAGCCATGGGAAACTGAATTTTGAACCACTTTGGGAAAAATGTGTTTTGGAAAATTAACTAATCCATGTGTGCACTATTCAGATTGATCCTCATGGCAGCTCTTAACCTCTGTCTCCTTCTTTCATAGGAAAGAAGAACTCCATCCTGCTCCATAAAGTCCAGCATGATCTCAACTCAGGGGTCTTCAACTACCAAGAGAACGAGATCATCCAACAAATTGTGCAGCACGACCGAGAGATGGCCCACTGTGCACATAATGTGCAAGCTGCGGCGGCGGCAGCAGCAGCTGCGGCATCGGCCTCGACACCCGTCATCTGGACGCCCCTCATCCGGGCTCCATTGCAAGCGGCGGCAGCCACCACCTCCGTAGCAATAGCCCTGACCCACCACCCCCGCCTTCCTACCGCCATTTTCCGCCCTCCGGTCTCCATGTTGGGTTCTCTGGGGCAAGCGCAGAACCAGACTCCAAGGCGCCTGAGGAGGCTCCACTCTTTGGTGTCGTCCGGTGGGCCCTCCGCCCTGGGTTCCCCGTTGAGCATGCCGTCCCAGCAGCCCACGCCAGGAGCCGAGACCCTTTCATCCTCCTCTTTCCAGATCCAGCAGCTGGCCGGGTTCACTGCCTCCGCTGGCTTGGGCCAATTTCACCGGGCCTCGGCTGGTTCCCCTTCGACTAGCTCAGCACCGCAACCCGTGGGAAGTCCATCCTCAGTAGGACTGAGCCAACCACAGCTGGGGCCTTCCGATCCACCTGAAGGGAGTGCTCCACAACACGCCCTTGATAGCAACCTGTCAAGCAGTGGCTTTGGCCCCTTCCAGAAGGCCCCCACTAGCCCCCCCTTGGCCACCTTTCCTCAGCAATCTTCCAATTCACCCAGTAGCCCCCTCCGCCACTTGCAGCCCACGTGCCAGCCTCTCCAAGCGGGCCAGCCCTCAAGAACTGGAGCGTTTGCAGGGATGAGCCCATTCCCCTTACCTCCCTCCTCCAGTCCTCCCTCCTCTAGCTTAAGCCAGCTGGCACAAGCCTCTGGAAGCCCCTCGTCAGCCTTGTGTCAAACCCAGCCAAGTGCATTAGGACCTTCGACGGTTGCTCAGTTGCACCAGGAACGGTCTACGTCTCCCGCGGTCGCCCCTCCGTCATACCCACATTCAGGCCTTAGCCCTCCCCGTCACAGCCCTGTCCCCAGGACTTTCCAGTGCAGCCCTCCAGGGTCACTGGGCTCCCACGGATCCCTGCTGATGCCTCAGGCCTCCAGCCCACCCCGGCAGGTCCTCCAGCCCAGGAGTAGCCCTTCGCTTCCTCCGGGACGATTGACCCAGGACCTCAAGCTGATTTCCGCTTCCCAGCCCTCTCTACCCCACGAAGCGGCTCTGACTTTAAGCCATGGCTCTCTTCACTCCTCCCGAGAGTCTGTTTCTAGTTTCTCGTCTTTCTCTGGAGGAGGAGGAAGAGGAGGAGGAGGATGGACCATACCTCTAGGGAAGCCATATAGCTCTGTGCCAGGGCGAGTGACTCTACCACGCCAGATGTCCTCAGGTTCTCTGCCTCACCCGCCTACGTTTGAGGCCACATGCGCCATTTCCCCGTCTCTGACTGCTTCCGACGGGAGGAAAGGGTCCATAGGGCTGACTGGGGAACGGGAATCCGTCCGATCCAAACTCCCCTCGAATTTGTGAGGAACTCTACCCCTCTCCCCCCAGTTTGGCCTCATGATCCAGAAGAGGCACTTGGATTTCGTGCAGATCCCACAAGACGCCGTTTCCTTCTTTTGGCTTTCTTTCCTTCGAGTTAAAGCTATGATTAGAAGTTTGATTTGTTTCTTTTTTTAAAAAAAAAAGGAAGCTAAGAACAACAACAACAACAACAAAAAAGATAACCAGGTATTCTTAGAGTTATAGATTTTCAGTCACTTTCTTTTATAGAGTATTTTACTACACGGAACAAAAGACCGAAAAGGGGAACGCAATCAATATGCAGTAATGAGAACCCAGAGATGAGAGGTAGAGTCGATATGAATGATCAGCCATGGGGAATGTGCGCGCGTGGAAAGACAGACAGGTCCCGCAGTGATACGGGTCAGGGCCAAGGATCCACCTAATGAGGACGGTTCGATATCTTCTTGCAAATGTCACCCTCAAATGTGTAATCACCCAGTTTAGCGGGAGAGGCATGGGCTTGGAACCTAGATACATAAAACAAGTCCTTTTCCCAGTAATTCAGCCAACTATTTAAGGGACATTATTATTATTATTATTATTATTATTATTATTATTATTATTATTATTATTATTTCGGACCTTTGTATCCCGTCCTATCTTGACCTCCGCAGAGGGACTCAGGACAGCTAACAACCGGCACACCATGGTGCCCACAACCAAAAGCATAAATATACAATTTAAATAAAAATAATATAAAAACAGTATAAAAACAGTCAAACGGTCGCCGATGTAAGTCATCGTCCTAAAAGCAGTCCGTCAAGTCTGTTAAAGCCGTCACTTTGCCAGCAGGTCAGCCTAGTCTGCAAAGGCCTGATCCATAGCCAGGATTTCACTTGTTTCCGAAAGGTCAGGAGGGATGAAGCAGATCTGATTTCATTTGGGAGGGAGTTGCACAGCTGAGGGGCCACCACAGAAAAGGCCCTGTCCCTTGTCCCCACCAAACGCAATTGCGATGATGGGGGGACAACAAGCAGGGCCTTCCGGGTGATCTTAGGGTCCTAGGTGGATCGTAGCCAATCAATAGCCGAATTCAAAACTAACCTACTTTCAGACTCTTTCCCATGAAATTTGCAAATTATAGTGGCACACCACTAATCACACTACCAAAATACATACCTAAGACATCCCAACAGTGAAGATGGCACTACGGTATAACTCCTGGATTCACAGGGGTTGCATTCTCCACTTCACATGGATAATAATAGCCATTCCTATTGAAATTGCTATTATGAAAGATATTTTGGCCCTGAAAATATCATAGAGCAGTATTTCTCAACCTGGGGGTAGCGTGGGGGTATCAGAGGGATCGCCAAAGACCATTAGAAAAACATTGGTGGTGTTCAGAATACTCTTTGATTGTAGGTGAACTATAAATCCCAGCAACTACAACTCCCAAATGACAGGGTCTATTTCCCCAAACTCCAACAGTGTTCACATTTGGGCATATTGAGTTTATGTGTTCCAAGTTTGGTCTAGATCAGTGGTTCTCAACCTGGGTGTTTGCGATGATGGGGGGACAACGAGCAGGGCCTCGCCAGGTGATCTTAAGAGTCCTAGATGGATCATAGCCAATCAAGAGCCAAATTCAAAACTAACCTGCTTTCAGACTCTTTCCCATGAAATTTGCAAAATATAGTGACATACCGCTAATCACAGTGCCAAAATACATAACTCAGACATCCCATAAGTGAAGGTGGCACTACAGTGTAACCCCTGGATCCACGAGGGTTGCGTTATCAAACTTCACATTCCTGTTGAAATTGCTATTATGAAAGAGTTTTGGCCCGCATAGAGCAGCATTTCTCAACCTGGGGGTAGTGAGGGTGTATCAGAGGGATCACCAAAGACCATCAGAAAACACAGTATTTTCTGTTGGTCATGGGCATTCTGTGTGGGAAGTTTGGCCCAATTTTGTCATTGGTGGCATGTTCGGTGCATGGCAGCATGGTGCACAAGTGTGAGCAAAAGAGAGAGTGTGATGCTGCAGGGAGGCTCACGCCAGTGAGTCCCTTCAAGGCATGGGAGTTCTCTGTGTTAAGTTTGGCCCAATGATATTGTTGATGGGTTGTAGTTCAGAATGCTCTTTGATTGTAGGTGAACTATATATCCCAGCAACTACAACTCCCAAAGGTCAAGATCTATTTTCCCCAAACTTCACCAGTTCTCAAATTTGGGCATATTGAGTATTTGTGCCAAGTTTGGTCCAGATCCATCATTGTTTGAGTCCACAGTGCTCTCTGGATGTAGGTAAACTACAACTCCAAAACTCAAGATCAATGCCCACCAAACCCTTCCTGTTGGTCAGAAGTTTGCCATGTTTGGTTCAATTCCATTGTTGGTGGGGTTCAGAATGCTCTTTGATTGTAGTTGAATTATAGATCCCAGCAACTACAACTCCCAAATTTCAAGATCTATTTCCCCCAAACTCCACCAGTGTTCATATTTGGGCATATTGGGGATTCATGCCAAGTTTGGTCCAGATCCATCACTGTTTCACAGTGCTGTCTGGATGTAGGTGAACTACAACTCAAAAACTCAACGTCAACACCCACCAAACCCTTCCAGTATTTTCTTTTGGTCACGGGAGTTCTTTGTGCTAAGTTTGGTTCAATTCCATCGTTGGTGGAGTTCAGAATGCTCTTTGATTGTAGGCGAACTATAAATCCCAGCAACTACAACTCCAAAATTTCATTCCCCTCTTCCTCCCTGTCTCCTTCCTTCCTTTCTTTCACAATGACGTGTAGCAGAGGCAGAGCAAAGTTAAGGAATGGGGACAGCCTAGAAATGTCAGTGGGGGTAGAATACATAATTTGAGTGGGTTGTATCTAGCCCGTGGGCCGTGGTTTGCAGACCCCTGCTTACACTATATCATTCTTTCCCCAGTTTCATTCTGAACTATTTTGGAAAGCTGTCATAGAATCCTAGAGTTGGAAGAGACCTCGTGGGCCATCCAGTCCAACCCCTTTCTGCCAAGAAGCAGGAAAATTACTTATAAACAGTACTTAAATACTTATGGCCATCTAGCATCTGCTGAAAAGCCTCCAAAGGAGGAGCCTCCATCACACTCTGAGGCAGAGAGTTCCACTGCTGAACAGCTCTCATAGTCAGGAAATTCTTCTTCATGTTCAGATGGAATCTCCTTTCTTTCCTGTAGTTTGAAGCCATTGTTCCATTGCATCCTAGTCTCCAGGGCAGCAGAAAACAATCTTGCTTTTTCCTCCCTATGATTTCCCCTCACATATTTAATACATGGCCCTCATAATGTCTCCTCTCAGCCTTCTCTTCTGCAGGCTCAACATGTCCAGCTCTTTCAGCCGCTCCTCATAGGGCTTGTTCTCCAGACCCATTTTTAAGTGGGTTGTGTGAAAAAGGTGAAGCAGCAAAGGGCTCCCTATCGCTAGCCACTTTGTCAGAGTCAAGGTACCCCAATTACCTAAAAGTGCTATGATTTATGCCAACAGTTTTTCAGAGTGTGCATTCTCTGCATGCCTTACTTGGTATAGAAAGGGCAGTGGAAAGAAAAAAAAAGACATCCAATGTGATTTCCATATAACTATGGCAAAAGAGGAAAGGGTTTCCGCTTCCTCAGTCACTGCAATGTGTCTATCTCTGTGTTTTAAAGCCAGCCGATAATAACATAAATGAATCTAGTTCCATCTAGTGGTTAAATCACGACCAAGATTTTGAGCTCAGAACACTTCTAATAGAAAAAGCGAATAGAATCTTAACCTGGGGGTCGGGAGATCGGGGGGGGGGTGAGAGGGGGTCAGAGGGGTCGGCAAAGGCCACCAGAAAATACAATATTTTCTGTTGGTCATGGGGATTCTTTGTGGGAATTTTGGCGCAATTCTATCGTTGGTAGGGATGAGAATGCTCTTTCATTGTAAGTGAACTATAAATCCCAGCAACTGCAACTTCCAACTGTCAAGTCTATTTTCCCCAAACTCCACCAGTGCTTCATATTTGGGCATATTGAGTATTCGTGCCAAGTTTGGTCCAGATCCATCATTGTTTGAGTCCACAGTGCTCTCTGGATGTAGGTGAACTACAACTCCCAAATTCAAGGTCAATGCCCACCAAACCCTTCCAGTATTTTCTGTTGGTCATGGGAGTTCTGTGTGCCAAGTTTGGTTCAATTCCATCGTTGGTGGAGTTCAGAATGCTCTTTGATTGTAGGTGAACTATAATCCCAGCAACTACAATTTCCAAATGACAAAATCAATCCCAAACCCCAATTGGGTATTTGCCAAATTTGGTCCAGTGATGAAAATACATCCTGCATATCAGATATTTACATTACGATTCATACCAGGAGCAAAATTACAGTTATGAAGTAGCAACAGAAATAATGTTATGGTTAGGGGTCACCACAACATGAGGAACTGTATGAAGGGGATGCGGCCTTAGGAAGGTTGAGAAACAGTGGTCTATTAAGTGGTCCAAATCCATATTTTGACTCTTTCATTTGGATCCCGCAATCCAAAGTTCCTCGATTCATCATGAGCAAGAAAGGAGGCCGTAATAATGCGGATGCCAAGACCTAAAAGAATAACAAGGCCGAATCTCCCTGCTCTTTCTCCAAATTGCTATCAGTGTGCTTAATTCTATAACTAAAGTCCCTCATAAAATAGCAAAAAAATATATCCCCAAACACCAAACCTCTGACATGTGCCTGTTGCCTCAAAGGGTTGGCCCCAAGACTGTAGCCAAGCTGATTGGGCTTGCTCTGCTTCGCTGGGTCGGAACTAAGCTGTAATTCACGCTTCTGTCTTCCGTAAAGGTTCAAGGGCACTCTAAGGGGAAAACACACAAGCAAACCTTTTGTACTGAGAATAATATAATACTACTGCTACGTGGATGTGCGCATACATGTCTCCGAAGGCGCGTACCCCACATCCCTGTACTCACGACATGCAGATCATAGGATTATATAGTTCTATATTCTAGTTTTAAAATAGATGCCAATATTGACCCTCTCCTGAAGGAGTCCATAGGAAGTCCAGGTGGGAAACAACTACTTTAGGTCAAAATTTGTGACGTACTGGTTAGCACCAGCATTGGGAACACGTGGCTCTCCAGGTG